GCCACAGCACAGGTCGAACTATAAGACGAACAGAAAATTAGAGAACACGTCTGAAAGGCTAATACCGCGTTAGCCAAAACCGTATCTAAGAAGGTGAACTGTGTTTCTTTTACTGCTATTTATCTTTACCAGAACTTAACCCTTTGTACACACTTTGAAGAATGAGCTATACGGAAGTCAAGAACTTTCTCAGAGGCTACGGGAGAAATTCAAGAGAAACTCCAGAAGCAGACTAAGGTTTAGCCCAGCTCACCGCCTGCGTTCAACACTGTGCCTGTTCGCTCACCTAACATGGGGTAAAATCACAGCCACCCCAGAGAGCTGCTGTGAGAGGGCTGGACACCTCCATCTGTGCAGCCAGAGCAATGCCTGGCACATGGCTGTCTGGAAGGGAAAGAGGGGAAGAGGGGAAACAGAAGACAGAGCAAGGCCTAACCGCGGAGATCTGCACCTGAGGACGGCACCAAACTCACCACGAATACTCTTCAGATCGGCCAGAGTTGAACACCAGAGTTTAGGCTTTGGAAGCTCAAAATCTAAGATGCCACGGCTACCCTACGCATTCAGCAGTTTTCCAGGTTCCACTCTTGGGTTCTGGGACCTGGGTATTCCACCGGACTTGAACTGGAACCTGGAGACGCTGGGTTACTTTGTTAAAATTAACACCGCTGTCCTGAGGTGGTGGTTTGGTGCTCTCGGGATGTCCCCCCAAAGCCTGGGAGGTGACTGGAACTTGGGGCGTGAAGCTCAGACTGGTCCACTGATGAGTTACAGACAAAGGTGACGGAGGGTGGTGCAGCCCCGCTGAGGGGGACCCACGGGGGGCTGGAGGTGTCTTCCTCACTCCTCCCTGATCTCCTTCCGCTTCCGGCCTGCCCTGACACCCTGCCTTGGAGCCAGCCTGTGGTGCATGGAGACTTCCACAAAGTGGGAGCCAAAGTAAACGTTTTCCTTCTTAGAGTTGCGGGTGTCAGATACTGTGCCTCAGTGATAACAAAAGTAACTAAGACAGGCGACTGGAGGAGTTTCTATTTCTTGCTACTATTTGCTCACTCTGGTACAGACTGTAAAGCTACTCAGCCAGAAACGACTGCAATCACAGTGCAGAATGCACAGAATTCCTCATTCCGCTTTTTTCTATTAGTAACACACCTGAACATAAATTCTAAGTCATTTAAGCACCTTAACAAAATGATACACAGATTTAAGAACAGTGGAAATGTCCCTAAAACTAAACTAAGAAATTTAACTCAAGACATAAGTAGATATTAAGTGATCTTCTTATTTATGAATGTTTTCTCCAAAGATTTGAAGGACAAGATAGCAACAAGATATCAACTGTCCACAAGTAACTGTTATCACCAAAAGTATTTTTCTACTCAATATTCTACTCAAACATATGGTTTTTTCTCATAGTATCATCATACAGAAAAAATCAACAGGAAAAATAATTTTAAGAATATAAAAGAGTACATGCATACAAAACAATGGAAAAGTTGGATAAGTAAAGTATACCAGAAGCAGTGAAAGAAATTTCACTAAACTGCCGAGCAAAGAATACCAAAAGAAAACCTTCCAACTGTTGAACAGAATTTTGGCATTGTAACACGGTCTCTTAGGAAAGTGAACACAATTCTGGCATTATATTTTCTCCTGTGATTCTAGGCTTTGACTCTGATCGTGACACCAGAGGCTAGGATTCTATTACATTAAAATAAAACTTCTCACATAAAAAGATTCCCTAACATCACTAGACTTGGAAATATATATTAAAAGGAAATGAGACTGTGAAATAAAATCCTAACTTCTGTTTAATCAAAATAAATTATATAAAAAGGGTTATCAAAGAAAGACTACATGGTCTTCAGGGCCTCTGAACTTGGGGACTCCCTGACCTTTATGTGAATTGTTCAAGTGTTCACAAATATGGAACGGGTTTCTTCCATTTTAATTTTCTCAAATGCAGACTTCATAGGAGTTAATTTCTCAACACATTAAATATACTCTAGATGTACCTACTACTCTTAGTCCTTTGTAAGTCAAACCATTTTTAAGACACATTTTTTAAAAACAGAATTAAGAAGTAAAAAAGGAGATTTAAAATTGTCAATAGAACTAAGTCAAAAGATGGATTTAAAGAATCAAGACACAACTAATTTGAAAGTTCAGCCCCATCACTTAACATTTCTGTGAGCTGTGCAAGCTGTTTTACCTTTCTTACTTTCCATTCCTTCATCTACGATGCGGGGCTTTTATCTCACGTCTCATAGGGGTCCAGTGGGGGTGAACATGTTTTGATATCTGCTAGAGATTAAGGTCCCAGTCATACACTAGTATATGTCCTTCTCCCCTTCCCCAAAACTTCAAGTAGCTCTTTTTCCAAGTACATTATGAACCACTTTCTTTAGGTACTCTCTTCTCATTTTCTTCTGACAAAACAAAGGGCCTCTCTATGGATTTCACACATTTCCTACTTACGTTTTGGGGTGTTCAACAGCCCCTCTGGCCCCCTCATTCTGGAGGCACAATCCCTCTTTCCCCAGCTGTGACAATGGAAACGTCTGTACACATGTCCATTATATTCCCAGGGGAACTATACTGTCCCCAAGCTGGAAGGCTTTAAAACTCCACCGGGTCTTGGGGTTCTGGAGTCACCTTACACTGAAGAATTACTGCAAACAGTCACATGAAGACAGTGTCGAAAGTGTTACCGGCTGTATTACTCCGCTTTCTGTTCTGGTGGCTCAGAGAAAAATCTGTGCCAGACTTGCTGTTAGTAGACTGCTGGTTTTTTTATGGGTAATGTGTGTCCCTATTACTAATAACAGTCTCGCCTTTTCTTTGGACCCTGAAAAATTCAAAATCAAATTCACAGCCCATCTCTGATAATGTTGTAGAATTCACTGCATTAATTTTTGTGTTCTAAATCTCTTGAACATCAATTCATCTTTCTTACTCTAACCTTTTAACTTTCTTTTGAATCTTAACTATAGTTCAGTATGTGGACAAAAACTTTTCTTGAATAATATTGAATATAACTTAATAAATAAGTAAATTGTAATCTTTACCAGCAGACCACCCTTTCTACAATCCCGTTTTATCATTCCACTCTAGTGTTCGCCTGCAAACATTTGTTTATTCTCCCCATCAAAGCATGTTAAATCTGAACTGAGTAAGTTATGTCAAATACATTATGATGCTCACATTTCTCCCAAAAAAGCACAGGATCACAGACACTGCTTGTCGGGTGACTGCTCAGGCTTAGTACTCAGCCTGGAGAGCAAGAGGCAGGGGAATATCTTGCACCCTCTGTCCGTCGGTGCTGCTGGGCAGCCCATTTCTACACCAGGCAGTGTTTGAAATTCATTCTGCACCCTCTCTCCAAGACAGACAGTGTCAAAGCAACAGCCCATCTTGCCCGAGTAACAACCGTGAAGGGGTCTACCTGGCCCTACATCTTCATTGCTTTCAACAGTGCTAAAATAAACCATCTGGGCCCCCTAAACCTTAACCTGTCCAAGACCTCACATGGGATTGTAAGATGTGGATATTACAAAGTCCTCTGACAGATGAGTGGATAAACAACTCAGGGTATACTCAAACAAAGGACTCATCAGTCTTACAAATAATTATAAAAACTCCTCAGGAAAAAAACAGAAAAGAAAGGTGATACAACTGGTACACATACATACAAATGGTGAACTTCAAAATACGCCAGGCAAAAGACACAAAGAGTATACATTGCATTTTTCTACTTATAAGAAACTGTAGAAGAGCCAGGCGTGATGGCGCACGCCTATAATCCCAGCACTGGGAAGGCTGAGACAGGAGGATCACAGTGAGGTTGAGGTCAGCTTGAACTACACAGTGAAAGCTTGTCACAAACAAACAAACAAACAAACAAACAAATTCTAGAAGAGGCTGAACTAATCTAACCTATTGGCAACAGAAAGCAGACTAGTGATTTCTTGGGGTCAGGAGAGTAAGAAAGGAGTAGTAGGGAACTTTATGCAATGATGATGGAAATGTTATTTCTGATATCATATCTTCATTTGGACACTGGTTCACAAGTTATGTATTTATGAAAACACAAACTACACTTAAAATAGGTAGAAATATGGCTCTCTTGCCAAAACGTGTAAATAAATAATGAGAAAATATACAAACTGAAATTGAAGGACATTCTACAAAAACTGAGCAGTAGTTTTCAAAAATATCAAAGTCATAAAATAAAAGGAAAAAAAAAAGGCTCTGAAACTGTCAATAGAGTGGAAGAGATGGAGGGACAGGATGACTGGATCCAGCGCGGGGTTCTGGGGCAGAGACTGGCCCAGTGGGGCCCTGGCACGGCCCACACGGTCGGTGGCTGGCGCAGTGGTGTCACACCAGCGCCGATGTGTGCTGTCAGCCCTGGCACGGCTACGTGAGCCCCAACACAGGAGAAGCTGAATGAAGCGCGTGTGGAAATTCTGTTATGTGTAACTTTTAGAGTCTAAAATTCTCTAGAAATAAAAATTTTAATGAGTGTATTTCATCTGTATGAATTTTAACTCATTGTTGATATAAAGTAAAAAAGAAAATAAATCCACTAAGAAATCCTATTCCCAGCTCAGTTCTCCTTTTTAAGGTCCTTAAATAATGTTTAACTAAGATTAAATATAAAAGGAACTCAAATTCTCTTCAATCTTTGAGTCAGTTAAACCTACTTGCTAAAACATTAAGCATTTTCAGGTTACTTTTAATATAAAAACTTCAGATACTTTCCTTAGAATCAAAATGATATAAATAATAAAACTAAGTTTAAATTAAGTTGTTGTAATGACACAATAGAATCCATAAAATGTTTAAGTCTACAGTAAGAAAAACAATTTCTATGACTCACATGTAAGAACTGATATACATATTTAAACTTCAAAAGCTGTAGCATCTCAGTTAATACTATTTAGCAAAGGCATGGATAGAAATATAGTAGGAGAAAAATTAAAACTTTTACAGCATACCTCCTCTGTTTCCATTTTCTTCATCCTACAAAATAAAAAAAAAAAATCATTTATGACCACACATTTAGGAACTCCGGACAAATCGCAGCAAAGCTCGATCACACGCCCTGCTCTCCCCGTACAGGTCAAGGAAGCCGCCCTCGCAGGGCCTTCTGCCGAAAGGGGCGTCCTCACAACAGAGAGAAAGCCATGCACAGGAACGCAGAGCTGAGTGACGCAGCGGAGCGGGGGACGGAGCTCCCACTGGGAAGGCGTCCGGCCGTCACCTCCTGCACTGCGCGCCTCGGCTGAGCCTCGAGGGCCAGGAGCGCTCAGAGCCCCGGGTAAGCGGACCGGTGCATTTCAGTTCTCACGCTCAGGATGGAGGCTCTATTTGGCCTTTGTTTGCTACCAAGCTGCCGTTATCTGTGTCCAGCTGAGAAACCAGAAAAACAACCTAAAACCTAGTATAAAAATACATTTACTCAAACATTTGCTGAGTTACAACCATATGGAAGCTAGCACGTACTGTAAAAAGAAAAACAGACGTTTGATGATTTATTACATCATTTCTGACCTTTATTTTGGCCGGCGAAATGTTGTGCTCTTCCGCCGCTGCTGCATATAGCTCTGTTCTAAGCTGGAAAGGCTTCCAGCTAAGTGACCTGACAGACACTGGGGCACACACGGCACAGCTCCGATGGAGGAGCCAGTCCTCTGGGCTGGGGATGCAGCTCAGTGGTCAGGGCTAACCCGGTACACGCGGAGCCCTGGGCTCACTGACGAGCACCACCAAGACACAGACAGACAAGACTCCTCTGAAGGAAGCTGATAAAGTACACAATTAAAATGAAAAGGACTCGGAGATGTGTATATAAAAAGGACTGAGACCTATCTGCAAGGACATCTAGCCTGACCGAAAGGCACCGAGCAGCCTTGGCCTGTCGGTCTGTGGTGTCCTGCGGTGTCCTGCTGTGCCCTGGCGTGCAGGCAATCGTCACCAGCTTGTGAGAAGGGCGGCCGGCTGTCTGCCAGGTGACTCATGGGTCACAGGACTAACGAGAGGCAGCAGCAGGGTCACTCAGGGGATTCTGCCTGACGACTGCACTACCCAGCAACTACACTGAGCTACTGAACATCTCTAGAAATATGCACAAGAATATATTTTAACCTGTGTTTGGTAAAATTATCTTATAAAAGTTGTGCTACCTATACACTTCCCATGACCCAAAGCTCTTATTCAAAACAAAACCAAGAAGAAAAGACCAAAGAAAGCCCTCAACCTTCATATGCAATCATCAGGTGCTACTGTGTGTAACCCAACACGTAATTAATGCCACTTTGGACCTTTTAAGACCAAGCAGATTGTCAGGGCTTCTAGCCAACATTTCTATAGTAACTTACAAATCCAGAATTGGTAAATTTTAATTCTAAAGTAGCAACCATTCAGAATCTTTAAAGGCTATTAGGTACTTTATAAAGATAATCGTCTAAAGAGACATTTTCCTGAAAAGATGCACTTAACCAAACTGTAAAAGAACGTATTCTCTAGCTACAAGTAGACACTACTCTTGAAAACACCTGAATGTCCAGGTGTGTTGGCTAAGCTCAAGCACAGGTCCACTGTGTGCCTGGGATCGGCTCTCGTGAGTTACAGGAGGCCGATACCATCACCGGCTCGCAGGGTGATGGGAAGCCTCCGGAACGGGCTGTAAAGAACCCTGAGCTGCACTCAGCAGGCAGCCCCAACTGCAAGGGCTCCAGGCTTCCCTCCTTGGATCGTACCGCCATGCCTGGGAGCAGACTGAAGTCGTTCACTCGGATAAGCACCTGTGTTTTAAAATTCTGACTCACCATGTTACACATCTGGAAGTACTACTCTAATCTCACTAATTCTCTGTAACTAGAAGACTATTTTAAGGAGTGACTTTCTTTGTATAATCTTTTCAGAAAGCTTACAAACTTTCTAGATAGTAACAAAATAGCCATATACATATTAGAAAAACTGGAAAGAAATCTGTAAGTACTTGAAAAATTGGAGTTTAGAATTATATGATCTTTCCTAGAAGATTAAAGTTTTTATTCCATCAGGTAGAAAAATATCTAAGAGAACAAAAAGTCAAAATACAACATCTAATTCTTTCAAGATAGAAAAAAGGAAGGAAGAGAAGGATGAAAGGAAACAGGAAATTGACTTTTTTTCATGTTATCAATTATTTCTCTTACCTTATATGAAAACTGAATTGCAGACTCTGGAGGATAAACAATAAAATGCCTTAATGTAAAGCCAAAGCCTTGTGATGTTCTCTTCAACATAACTGTTTTGGGACCTGGCCAGGAGAAAGCTTCATCTTCGGACGGTGATACAGTTTCACTTTGTTCTTTTCCATCTTTATTTTTTGATACCTGAAGTTAAAAAAAAGTATTTAAAAGTTAACTATGTAACAAAATATACTTCCAGGAAAAATTACATGGGAAAATAAAATACCAGCATATAAATAAAAGGCTTGAATCTCTTACTTTTAGAAAAGCATAAACCTCATCGAATTGTACCCACTTTTATGACACCGATCAGCCGGCAGGCACAAGGATGACTTCCTCCTTCAAAGTCACCCCTCTCACTTCCCACACTGATGTTTCTCCCAGCTTACAGCCCGCTCTGCTTCGTCCTCACAGATCCAATCTCTGAACTCAGAAGCACTCCGGACTCAGTCCATGGCCGCACCGGCTCTAGGCACTTCGGTCTCGGGCACTAAATAACCAAACCTTCATCTCCAACAGCTTTCTCAGGTTTTACATGGATGCACTGTGGACTCTGTTGGAACTTACAATTCCAAGTTCATCCTGGCATTTTTGAAATGTGAACTTTACCAAAAGCCAGTTACTTGACTATGGTTAACTCTTTTTTTTATTGTCTTCTAACAGTGAGTTGATCCACTGCTCTGTAATGATTTGCTTCATACAAAGGTGAGATGACAGCTAGAAAAAAAGTACCCAAGCAAATTTGTAGCAAGACTGTGACGGAACAACTGTAAGGCACTGAATAAAAATATTGCACAATATATGAAGTCAGCATTATTTCTACACACTAGCAGTACGTAATTGAAAAATGAAAATTTTAAATATACAATCTAAAAATGGCATTGAAAGTGTGAAATGCTTAGGAATAAGTTTAGCAAAGATGCACAAAGCCTGCAAACTGAGGCCCTAGAAGCCTCCTGGGACTAACAAATAATTAATGAGCGCTATGCCAGGTTCAGGCTGAGATTCAGTGTTGTCACAATGCTAACTTTCCCAAAAGATTATCTATAGATTCAATACAATCTCAATCAAAATCTTAGGAAATCTGTGTGTGAAAGTCATCACATTATTTAAAAACTCACTTTAGAAGGCAAAGAATCTAAAACACCCAATACAATTTTGAAAAAAAAAAATCAGTACACTCACAGCTCGAGACTTATAAAGCTACAATAATCAAGAGAGTACAGAGTTAGCATCAAGACAGACACACAGATTCACAGAACACAACACAGTCCAGCTACAGACCCACAGCCTCGGGGCAGAACCACTGCGCTCCTGAGTGTTTATGCAGCAGAAACACGAACATGTCAATTCTGTACAAACACGGCATCACAAACATGACTATCCATACGCACGAAGAAGAAAAGAGCGCTGACTTAGAACTCACATCACATACAAAATTAACACAAAAGATCAAACTTTACTGGGAAAAATACAAGCAAAAATCTTACCAAAAGGCTCAGGTTTCTTAGCTATGATATCAAAGATAATGATCCATTTTTTAAAAAGATACATGGGACTTCATCAAAATTAAGAACCTCTGATCTTTGAAAGAAAGACACAGGAGAAAACGAAAGAGCCAGCAGCAGAACAGGAGATGTATAAACGAATACCACATCGAGGACTTCTATGAGAAAAATTTCCAAATAAAAAATAGGCAAAAGATGTGAACATACTTCATCAAACAAGTTACCCAGCTGCTGCAAATAAGCACGTGAAGAATACTCAGCACTGAGAGCCGGAAGGAAACGCAAACTAGACCCACACTGCGCTGCCTCCGGAAGACCAACCACACCAACTGCAGGCAGGACGCGAAGCCGCAGGATCCCAGACACCATCGGCAGAAATCGAATCCAGCAGGACACTTCAAAAATCAGTCTGACCACTTCTTCAAAAAGTATGTCTACCAGGTGGCACACACTTTTCCAGAGGAACGGAAAGTGCATATCGATATAAAACTCACACAACTATTTCAGAGCAGCTTTATCTGTTAAAGCCATGAATTGGGAAACACTCGAGTGTTTTTCTCAACAGGTGCACACATAAACAAACTGTGATACATCCCAACAACGCAATATCAGGCGGTGTGCTAACTACGCCAGGACACAGACCAGAGAACAGAGACTGCATGCCTGCACCTGTGCAAACTCCTAGAACAGCCCTAACACGCCATTTGTGCGGCCTGTAGGCAGGTGCAGACTTGGGGGCCCGGAGGGGGGGCGGGGACACACAGCCGCAGGAGGGAACCTGGGAGGGCCCGGGTGTGTCTCCCGGGAGCACACGCGTGTGGAAGCCTTACAGACTGCAGACAGCTGCTTACACGTCACACGCGCCACAACAGATATTTACACAACATCAGAAAAGGATGCCACAGGGCTGTCTCCGGGTCACTGAAGAAAGCAGTTGTCCTGAGGAGGCAAGAAGAATGTCCCTGAGCGAGGAAGCACGGGCCAGCCTCTGGAAGGCACACATTCCATCAGCGCTGGGGACACAACGAAGATCTGCAGGGAACGCACAAGTGTGTTTTACATAATGCCACATAATGGCAATATGTATCATACAGTTATATATGTAGCAAACACAAACATAAAAAGTGAAGTAATCTAGGGTTTAACCTACTAATCCCTGTTTTGTTAACCCTCATTCTGCAGGATTGTTTGCTTTTTCACCCGACTCAGCATTCCCTCTTTCCATTTAGGGCTCAGGGGTTGAGAACATGGGATCTGGACTCAGCTGAACAAAGCACTGATCCTGGCTCTGCCACCGGCTGTTGTATAGTAGTGGACAATTATTTAACCTCTCTCAGCTTCAGATTTTCATGCAAAACTCAGAATAAAAGCATTTCTCTTGCCGGGCGTGGTGGTACACACCTGTAATCCCCAGCACTCAGGAGGCTGAGGCAGGAGGATCACTGCCAGTCTGACGCCAGCCTGGGCCACATAGAGAGCTCAAGTCCAACCTGAACTGCATAGTGAGCCCTCTCTCAAAAAACAAAACAAAAAATTAAAGAGTACTTCTCTTAAAGAACTAACATTTATTAAATGAGAAATACCTGTAAAATACTGAGCACATTAACATTCAATGAACATTAGCTCCTTGTTCTTTCTCTGCCAGCACCATAAGATATACCATTTCTCGGATTCTCTTCCAATTTATTTTTCATGGTAATTCTTTCCCTCTTTCCCCATACTAAGGATCAAACCCAGGGCTTCACACATGCCACAAAACTACATCTTTTTTTGATTTTTATGTTTTTAGACAGGATCTCACTAAGTTGCCCAGGCTGTCCTTGAACTTGCAGTCCTCCTGCCTCAGCCTCCTAAGGAGCTGGGACTGCAGGCATGCACTACTACACCTGGCTTTGGCGGTTCTTTAAAACATGGTGTTTTGCAATATTTTAACACACTCATGCATATGATGCGGGTGGAGAGATGTACCAAAATGAATGACGGATCCTTGAGGAGGAAAAAAACAGGTTTAGCAATCAATAATGAAAGGGAGAGACTGAATTTTCAATAACCAGCTAAGTTTTTCCTCCTCACTTTTTAGCCCTCTGGTAAATTTACTGTAGTTTACCTTCCTTTCACAGGTTAGGGGGCGGAAGGTAGCAGGGAGCATGGCATTGTCAAATAAAATGATAGAAGCCACTGCATACATCAACCGGGCTCCTGCACCAGCCCCAGCAGGTCAGATGCAACGTCGCACCGCAGCAACTCAGACTAAGGTCCACGGCACAACACTGACGGAGACGCAATGTGACCATCTGGGGAACCAGGAGAGAGAGATGACTGATTTCTCAAAAGGACAGTTTCGATCAGCACAACGGTGAAGTTCCCTACGCTTTAGCCCTTACCAAAGCAAGCACCCTGAAGTTAACCAGTTATTTTTCTGTTGTTCTCCCTCCCTGTCCCTGCTTTGTAAGAAACGTAACTCTGACACGATTAGTCCACTGGTTTCCGCTTTCTTCAGACTTCCTCCGCCTATAAAACCAATCTACGCTGCTCAGCTCCCATCAACACTTCACTCTTACAAGGAACGGAGTGTCGCACAATTCTAGAATCACAAGTGAAACCAACGGGTGGCAAATGTGTCTTTTATCATAGATTATACATCTATTGTAACTGATACACTTTTTTACAGTCCTGTCACCGATAGTGATTACAGTTTAAATTTTTTAAGAAGCTGTCACACTCTCTTCCAGAGTGGTTGTACAATTTTACTTGCCTATGAGCAGTGTATAAGTGATCTGGCTTCTCTACATCCTCCTCAGTATTTGGCACTGCCACTATTTTTTATTTCAGTCTTTGTGATCACATGGAGATCTTAATATGTATTTTCCTAATGGTTAATGATGACCATCTTTTCATGTGCTTAGCTGTCACCTCATTATGTAATTTTAAAGCATAAAAGACCTTAATATTTAACCTAAACACATGAACCTTCTCATGTTACACATAAGGAACTTACCCTCCAGATTTGAAAGTGAGTTAGCCAAGACTGTGGCCGGCTACGATCAGACCAAGAATTAAAATCAAGGTTTCCTCAATCTGAGGCTAGAGTGTTTTCTCTGCCACATTATTTTCCATCCTCTCTGCACAGATTCTTGCTTCTAATAGATCTGATCTAATTCACTGTCTTTACATGTTTCCTTTTTCTGTAGGGCTCTAATTTTAATCTTCCAAAACTATTTGTGCATTACATTTATTTCAGCTCCCAAATATATTTCATATTTTCTTCTTTGAAATAATATAAGAAACTCCGATTGCCATTTCATTAAAAAAAAAAAAAAGCTTCAAGTTTCTGAACAAGCTTGCATTCCAAAACTATTTGTGCATTACATTTATTTCAGCTCCCAAATATATTTCATATTTTCTTCTTTGAAATAATATAAGAAACTCCGATTGCCATTTCATTAAAAAAAAAAAAGCTTCAAGTTTCTGAATCCAAGCTTGCAGGATATTGTTTAACTGACCTTTGTACACACAAAGAAAAGATGGGATAAAGAATAAACAATTTCATTTCCGCTTCCGGGAAATTAGAAGTTTTGAATGATACAGCTCAGCTGTCTCAACTGTTCCACCCATGCAGACCCTGACACTTTCCCC